CTTTTCTTAAGGTCCAGTAAATTTAGGTGATTTGCTATGTTTAGAAATCTGCAGCTTTCTCATGGATCATTGTGAACAGAGCAAATCTCTCTATGAAGCAGACACAGGTTGTGGCATTGCATAGAGATTTGGACACTCCTTGCTTAAAAAGGAGTGCAGCACAGCAGTGCAGAGGGTTCTCAGCAGATGCTGAGAGGAATCCTCCCACTCAGAGCAGCACAGCTGTATCACCACAGCAGAGCATAGACCTCAAACCTTGTTTCTAGGCAGCATTCTGCATTATATTACTTTATAGTCTATAAATCCACCAGTGGTCAAGTACCAATCTGAGGATCTACCTCATGTTCTCAGTAAACTGCATGCCGGAGGCTTTCTATGGTAGGTGTCTGATTTTTAAAATTCTTCCTTTTCCTATTTATTCATATGAAGTGTCTAATTTCTAAAAAAGCCCTTAAGCTGCAGGCTAATTCCTGCAGGGTTTTCAAAGTGATGTACAATTAGATTTCAGTACAAGCTAGCACTTAGCTGCATCAATCATTTTGCAGATTAAAAGAGCCAACTTCCTATTTGTTTAGGTGCTTAAATATTATAAATAGTCTGATTTCTAATTTTTATTTCTTATTTATGATACATATAATATATATGTATGTATTTTTTATGATCGTACAATTATATATCATGTAAGAATGAAGATCATGGCAAAAATAAAGATAAATCTAACTGCTTCCTAACATTTCTGAATTAACTCCACATCCATTTCACTAATGAATCTTAAATTCTTAATATGAAAGCCATAGAACATAAAATGGGAAACATTATTATGGTGCTCTCTAAAGCCATAGCTATTTCCACAACCTCAGTAGTGAGCATAGTTATGATTATCTCAAAAAGACTGAAAAAAAAGCAGGACTGAAAAAAAGACACATAGGGAGGAGCAAGTGTGATTGAGAGCAGAGTCACATCTATAGTATAGTACAGTACATGGGGGAGGGGAGATGTGGCCCTCTTGCTGCGGGACACACACAGCATTTTAGGGAAGCATCACTCTTCTACACCCCTATTGCTACATCACCACTGCTACAACTGTCAGAGACTGCACTTTGAAAGAGCTGGATCTAGATCTGTCTCATAGTACAATTACAGTTTTCTTGCATTTATCTTAAATTTCAAGACTCTGCTTTTGATCTTTCATGTGGTGAAATTTTGTCTCTGTACAGAAAAGTTTTTTAGGTTCCATCATTTGTACTGTTCTGTAATTTCCCTTGCAGGTCTGACTTCAGGATATTATTAAATATCCAATAAAAAGTGTCCATTTTACAAAGCTAACTATGAAAAAACCAAGTAACACCTCCCCTCCCAAAACATTTAATCAAATGTATTGATTCAGACCTCTCAGCAATAAAAAGAAATCTTAAAACATGTTCCTGATATATATGCTAGTTTATCGGGTCAGGGTTACCAGTCTTCCAAATGAGGACTTGAAAAATCTAGGATACTTGTGGTCCAGTCTCAGGGCTGCTTTATTTTGGCACAAGATGTCAGTACTGAATAGGGCTTTCCTCTTCCAAGACAGTTCTGTCAAAAATCAGAATGTCATGTAATTCAACTTCTGAGGCCTTTTGAGAGAAATACATATGTCTGTATGCTGCCTTCCTAACAGAGTGGGTGAGCAGAACTTCCAATGACTTGTTATTTGTACTCTTTTATCACTAGATTTCATATTACTAGCTCTCAAGATTGCCCTTAGCCAGAAATGAGAATACTAACAAATATATGACACTTACAAAATTAGTACAATGTTTGACTATAACATGATTCCATAGCATCTGCTACATCTCAATATTCCACTGAATATTTCACAATTATTTAACATCTATCACAGCTTTCTTCTACAAGAAAGATTAAGTATTTAAAAGTTTGAGGTTTTTTTTCCTTTCTAGCATGAATATTCCGCAGCTACTAGGCTTTTCTCAGGAGACCTATCTCAGACCTTTTAACACAGCAACTCATTCTTAGATGTACCACTGTAGTTGTCTTAATTTTCATAGCTCAACTTTTTGTTGCATATAGTAAAGCCAAATTAGAATGACTCTTTAAAAGAATTTTATAAACAAATGCAAACTTGCCTGGAGCACACAAGGAGATACTTCTCCCTAGCGTCAGTGAGAGATACCATTTGACTGAGGCCAAGATGTTCTCCACAGCATGGGTATCAAAGCAATTTTAAACACCAGACTCCCTGACTAACTCTACATTAGCAAATTCTTCAGTGCAAAACCAGTAATTTAGTAGGAAAGGCTGAGGGAATTGGGTTTGTTCAATCTGGAAAAGAGAAGGCTTTGGGGGAACCTAATTGCTCCCTTCCAGTACCTGAGGGGATCCTACAAGAAAGCTGGAGAGGAACTTTTTATGAGAAAATGTAGTGAGAGGACAAGGGGAAATGATCTCAAACTGAAAGAAAGTAGATTTGGATTAGATGTTAGGAAGAAATTCTTTACTATGAGAGTGGCAAGACGCTGAACAGATTGCCAAAATCTGCCCCTACTCTTTGATCAACATCCAAGGTTCCACTGAAAGGACTAGGAAAGGCCTTCAGCCACAGACACGAATTCAAGAGGACACTGAGGACAGTGACACTGGCTTTTCTTTCATTTGCAAACCAGATATGGAGAATGGAATGCCTTGTTGCTGATAGTCAGCTGGACTGCTTGACATATGCAGGAAGACTAGGAGAACTTCATGGTCGTGCAAAGTAGTCATTATTCAGATTCATGTCTCCTTCAGGTACTGCTGCATGTTTCATGCGAGAATGGTCTTCTAGCTTATTGTTCTCCAGAATGAATTTTTATTTGCATACACCAGAATGACTGCAAACCAAACCAATACACAGAAAGTGGGGAAGATCAGGAGACTCTCTTCAGAGCTGCACTGCTTTGAGACAAAATGTTAATGCATTTTCAACCTCTGTGCTCTTTTAAAACTCATCACTAATTTTTTACCTCTTGCAAAATAAGAGGCTCAAATATGGATCCTAAAAAAACTGATTAAAACCCCCAGTTGTTACTACTATTTATTTTAGACAATGGTACAATGTTTTTTCTCAGATTGTAACTGGGAATCTCTACACAAAATGTTAAACAAACAGGCCTGACTCTTTTTTACGTTTGGGCAGCCTTCCCAAAGAATAGCGTTACGGAATCAAATCAGAAATGCAGAATGCAGTTGTAATTCATCCTGATTTTAAGACAGCATTTCATTGCCAGAGAAGTGTAAAGCTGATATATTATAGTAAATCAGAGTAATGCCAAAGCTTTTCTTTGAACTGTGACATTTCGTGTGTCAGCTAGTTACTCTGACTAGTCAGCCACCACCCACACAGCTGATTAAAGACAAGACACAGTAACACTGCCACAAACTTAATGTACTATCTTTACACTGTTTTATTTTGGGAACCTTATATGGAAATACTGCCTATTCTGTGATGTACTGCACATATGAATTAATTTTTATTCTTTTGATTAATTAATTTTGATTTATCAATAAATAGATTAAATATTATTTGATAAGGGAAAAAGTAAAAAGTAAAAAAAAGAAATTATGCATGGCCAATCTTGATATTTGACTTAATTGTCTGAACTCTTTTTCAGTGAAAACTCCCCCAGATTTCACTATATTACACTGGCCAGGCAATCAGGAATGTTGTGTTGCCCAAAGATCCTAGTTTTACAATTGTTCATTCAATAAATAAAATAATAGAAACATAGAATGGGATAGATTGGGCAGAATATTTGAAGGTCATCTAGTCCATCACCCTGTCATGAGTAGGGACATCTTTCACAAGATCAGGTCACTCAAAGCCCCATACCCCCGACCTTGAATGTTTCCAATGATGGAGCATTCACAACTTCTTTGAACTTGTCCAAAGTTCAGTTCAGTTGTACCCTCTTTCATTTTAAAACAGGTTGCCTTTTTTTCTGTCTGTACAGATGTCTTGGGATGCAATGCAAGATGTAACCAAAAGCAAGTTCTATTACCATCTGTTAAAACCAGGGGGGGCAGTGTTCTTTATCTCTTTCACGACCCATCCTCCCTCTAGGGGCATATCTTCTGTTAATGGGCCATAAGCCACTGCATGACTGATAAAATGACATCAAGCCTTTGTGAGATATTCCACCCAGGAGGAGGAGCCAAGCATTCCTACCTGGATATAATCTGAGATTTGGAACACTGCAGTCCACCTTTCTCCACTGGATTCCCAGTAGAAGACAAGACCCATCTACACCACCACTAGACCTTCAGAATAACACTTCTACAGGGTCATTGCTTCAACAGAACCATATCTGTCACTCCAGGAGGATTGCAGCCACCATCTGATTTGACTGCTACCAACATCCTGACCAACAGGCTGTCAGTTTGTATTCTGACTCTGTCAATGTTTGGGGGTTTTTTTGTACTACTGTATTTTTATTTTAGTTTTCTTAGTAAAGAACTGTTATTCCTATTCCCATATTGTTGCCTAAGAGCCCCTTGATTTCAAGATTATAGTAATTCAGAAGGGAGGGGGGGAATTCACATTTTTCCATTTCAAGGAAAGTTTCAGCCTTCCTTAGCAGACACCTCTCTTTTCAAACCAAGACAACAGACCATGGTAAAAAACCATCCAAATCCTTTAAAAGGAAATTACAGATTACTGGATTTCAAAAGCTATAGGGAATTACAGAAGCCCCAGGGGATCAAACCAAGTGTACTTTGATAACATTTATGGTTATATAATCTATTTGCTATAAAATGGTGACAATTGGCTAAGCACATAAAGAATACATTTGAAAATAATTTAAACGGATGATCACTCACATGGAAAGTAAATATTTTTAATGGATACTTTCAACAAGGAAATCCTGATTGTTGATTAAATGAGGTGTCAGAAAACAAGAAAAAGTTTATGTAATAAGAAAGCAAATATACTCATTACCTTTGAAAAGATAGTATAATATTCTGGTAAGTAAATCCTGAACATCCCCTGGTCCATAAGGTACATGAATAACTATTTGTCAGAGAGCAATAGCTCTTTAGCTACTGCAACTCGGGTTTTTTTCAGTTCTGGAGGTTCAGACAGTTATGCTTCCCAGGGGAAAAGATGGCAGCAATCAAACAAAAAATTTTATTATCTTGGCCCATATCACTTTCATCATTGATGTCCTCACACTCTTGAAAATGTTGCAGATAAAAATGTAACCTGCTAAGGAGTGAATAGCCCCATTTTATGTCAGTCTGGAGTTAAACTGAGTTGACAGAGTTGCAGCTTGTAGGCTAAGGTTGATCATAGCCCTTAGCTCTGCCAGTCCTTACCATGTTGACACTTGATGTTGAGCTCTAACACCAGCAGCAGAAAACAAAAACTGAGGAGCATGTAGTCTCTTTTGCCCAATAGCTGAGTAGCCATTGCTTTTGGTTTTTTCCCAAACCATTAGTAGGAATAGGCCATCACCTAATAAATGTCACTCCTAATTTTATCCAGTTTTAGCCAAGGCTGAAGTGTTTCTGCAGTTTGCTAGCCAAAACCCAGACAAGCAGTAGCTAGTAATTAATTTCTATTCTAGTATTCAAAAGGAAGAGTGTCACCATGGCCTACTCAGTTCCACTTCACTGTGGTCATCAGCAGTTCCTTTCTGTCAGTTCCCATGGGAAGAGAAATGAGAGTACTTATCATACTTTAATATAGATCTGCTCTTTTCTAAAAAAATTCCAACACAGTAAAAAAATGTCATTGGCCTCTCCTGGAGTTTATGTTAACTCAGCAATTCAAGTTCATAGCACCTTTACAAGTCCTTGAGAAAATAAGGATTGAGAACAAGTGGAAATAAAGGAGATAAGAGCATTTTCCTCTCTAGAGTTCCTTGCCATATATACAAGATGTATATACATTTCTTATTATTAAAAGCACAGATATTTCTCTTTGGTAAAATATTTAACAGAATATTATGCATGTACAATATAGCATATACATTGTCAGCTATTTAGACAACAAATCACAGGTGTACTAGAAATATAAACAGGAGGCCACAGCATTTTTAACTGCTCCTTATGAACTAAATAATTATTTTAAAATAAGCAAAATAATAAATAATGATAAATTAATATATCCCAATAAAATAATACTGCATGGATTTATTGTTTAGGAAGGGTATAGGGTTTGGGCAATAGAAAACCTGAGGTCTACTGAACAAAAAAATACAGTCCAAGTAATAACACAGCAAACTCATACATTTTCTCATGACTGTGCATAGACCTGTAGCAACTATCCCTGTGGGATAGTAATTCAATCTCCTGCATCTCAGAAGAGCATGTGATGATATTGCTAATTAACATCCATGGTGATGATTCTCTTATGAAAACATTCATCTATTGGGAAATGGCATTTCTAAGGCATAGCTCCAATTTATTAGCATGTCTTACCATCACCTTTCAAGGGCAACGCCAGTTTGCTCCCACTGATTAGCACATAAAGCATGATATTTGAGTTACAGCTCATTTCATCAAGGTACCTCTTTTTTTATATAAAGAATCAGGTATATCTGCTGATATACTCAGCGTCTCCAACTTCCTCTCATTATTTGCATATTACCTGCCTCGGAATTAAAAAAGAGGAAGATCCTAGTTTCATTGTACCTAGAGAGAAACATACATGTATCAGGAACAGAAAACATAGATAGCATTTTATAAATACTTCATCTGTAAATTCTACTCTGGAATGCCTCACTGAAATTTGAAAAAAATTGTGGACTCTCTTGACTTAAGGGTAAAATTGGTACTCTCTTCTTCTTGCTGATCATTATTATTATTTGTTATTTTGCTGTTTATTTTCAGCAGTATTAGGTATATGCTACAGACTCTAAGTTCTCTTGAGGAGAGAACTGCTTCTGGACAGTTAAAAAAAAAATCTCTAACAGAAGCAAGTTAACAACTGGCAGGTAAACAGAAATGAAGCCATGGCATGTGGCATATGATCAGAGGCAGTGCCTGTAATGAAATCCCTATTTTTTGTTACTACTAATATGAACACAAGACAACAGTACAAAGTGACCACAGGAAAAATAAAGAGAATAAAAAACATTTCTCTCATTATAGCACAGCTTGGATAGATGTAAATGAAGTTATAGCAGGTAAGAACATCTTCCAGCTATTGGACAGAAGAGACAGAGAGAGATGAAGACAACTTTATAGCCAATGAAAGCTTCTGCCTTATACTGTCCCTCAGCTATTGGGAAATGCTGACATCTTGCTAGTGTACATTCATATGTGTATCTCCAAATTCTTCCCTTTCTTTGAAAGTTTTAATATGCAGAATTTTAAGAGTGCAAGTCTGAGGTCCACTTTTTAAAAATTTATTTTAAAATTTATTAAATTCCCCCCACAAAAAAAAGCTTTTTTTTTTTCCTTACATATACATTTCTTGGTAATTGTTCAGAACTAAATCATGTAGCTAATTAACTAATAAATGTGAAATTAAAAACAACATGTAATGTATAAAAAAGAACAACGTATGTACGTAAAACAGTAAAGGGAAGACAAATATACTACTGATTAAAAAAACCCAAAACCAACATGCATTTTCTACCATAAATTTAATTTACATGTTTTTATTACATGTTACTATACAATATGTGAGATATTTTGGTCTGTTGAAAAAGTGAGTAAGTAAATTTCACAGTAACTGGAAATTAAAATTGCTCTTTTTTTGTCTGTAAAGTCAAAAAGAAAAAGTACAGAGTTACAGTTCCTAAGTAGGGTGACTGTGAATCAATTGAGATTTCAAATATTTTAAGCATTCTACACACATATACATGTAAATTAATACACCCAACTTGTCAACAGTAAATCTTCAAAGGCTGTTCTTCAGAGCTACACTTACAGTCAAAGTTCTTAAAATGCTGGCTGAAACAAATGAAGTTTCATTGATTTTTAAATATCTTGAGATCTGAAGTTTTCAGTTTGTCTTTTTACCAGAAAATATTCCTTAGGCAAAGAACACTGGTGATACTTCATCTTGTCCGTACTTCATTACAGATTCAAACTCTTTGAAGCTGATGCAGCCATCAGAATCCTGATCGACTTCTCTGTAAGGGAAGAGATTTGGTATTTAAAACCCAAAAGACTATGCAAAACAGACATACTTAACTGTAGATATCCAACACCAATATTTTTTTTTAAGAGCTCAAGAGTCCTAAAATTTGAATTCTTTACAAAGAAATAATGAAGTAAAAAATATTTTATGTGTAGTCCATCTATATGAGGTGCTCAGTTTTATAAAAAGAACAATTATCATGATGTATCAACAGGAGGTAAAAGTTAATTACAGTACAACCTGTGCAAATCTAGCACTTCTAGCACTAATTTAGATCCTACATCTCATGCCTAATTCCCCAAACTCAGTCACCTGTATTAGAGATCCTCACAGTTTCATAGTACAACCTATGACCTCTAAGCCTTAAGACAGGTAAAGCTGACATTTAAAATTTCCCCAAGTGCCCCATGATCTTCCACATACTGCAAGCTTATGTTGAAACAAAGATTATGTTAACAGAAGACCTACTCTTTGTGACTGTAAGAAATATAAACTAATTTGTATGTTATTATATCCTAAAGGGAATATTACAGTAGTCAAAAAAGATCTCTGAAGAGTAAAAACTGTTAATATTTATTTATGAGACAGAGGCTGCTCAGAAGACAGCAATTCAATTAATGATATTAGCACACAGGGCTAAGTTTCATTAAATACACCTGGTAATATTTGATGCAGTGATAAATTAGGCTGACAAAATTGTATTAATAGTATTCTGTGAAGTATTTGTCTTAGTTCTCCATAGCTTTCCTGCTAGAAATACATTTTTACGAAAGTTAAATAATTAAAAAACTGATTAACTGTTGGATTTCAACATTCATTTATCATTTAGAAAAATATTTCATTGGTTTACACCAATGTCCAGACCATAGCTTTATTCACAATCTAGTTCACAATAATTCAATTACTTCATTAATAATTTGACTTTATCAATAATTTAATTAAAATTAATTATTATTACTGTCAACTATTACAGATGACACAAAGATTGCTAGAATTATAGTTCTGCAAACTTTACCATTACCATTAGGATTCAATGGTAATATACCTGCCATCTTGCAGCATGAAAAATGGGTTTAACTTCTACATGGACAAAACTGAAAATTCCAAATTGATCCATGCTCTTTAGCAGAAGCACATCCTATTATCCTTTGAATGCTTTGGAAATTTCAAAGGAATTCTACACTGAAGAAGTAGTTTGGTAATTCAGTTTTCAACAAAATCTTACGCAAAGCGATAGGATGTCCTGTTCGACTCTTATTCTAAAAACACCCTTGAGAAAAACCTAGTAAAATTTAAAGAAAATAATCTATAGACAACAGCCTAAAATACCGAAATTCAATTTGCATTACGTCCTTCCCTTTTTCCTGAAGAAGTCCTACTTGGATTAAAATTTTGTTATTCTCCCCTTCAATAAATATTTATCTTCATTTATTCTAAGAACCCCTCAAACTATCAACTTCCCACCTTTTTGGAAACTTCAGCATTGTTTGGTAAGATTCCTCTCACCTGTTGGCAATAAACAACCTGTACTAGTGCTTAATTTCACTATCAATCAAATATTAACCTCTTGTGAAGTATATTTGATCAGACAAAGTTCAAGCCTCATGGTGCAATGATGAACCTTACATGGCAATAAACATAAGGAATGACAGCCTGACATTACAGAAATATTGAAACTAAATTCCTTCAGGTCATTGTTGGCTCTGGCATAAGACTAAAACATGATGACATTCTACTGCTTTTCAGGTAAGGACAAGTTTGAGATGTACTCACCCTTAATCAAGTCTTTAGGGAAAACATGACAACTGGAGATAAACCAGTAACACAGTTTCTTGAAAATTAATTTAAAATTAGATTTCTTTAAAAGAAACTTAAATATTTTCAATTCACTTTTAAAATTTTAAGTTTCATTAAATTATTAATTAATTTCAATAATTACAATTAATAATTTATTAATAATTATTGCATAAATAACATGTCCATTGTTATTTCATAATTTATATAATTTATATTTAAATATTTTAAATACCACATGTCATAATATAAAGAAATGTAAGCTTATCCACCAGTGAAGAATGAATGCAGGCCATAATTATGAGATGGAGATGCTGTCCTGGAAGCAGGAGCTGAAAAGGCTGAGGACTCATAGAAAGTAATCAAATGAAGATCATCTACTCTGATGCTTTACCTAAGACTGTGAATACAATCCTTGAATGTATAAGCAGGATAATATCTAAATCTAATGCAAGACTGATTTTATTTCAGAATATAGTGTTAGGAAAATTAGGAAGGAAATACTGTGTCTATTTTCTGGTGCCCGTACTTCAAGAAGGACACTGAGGAACTTAAAAGAGAGAGATTCTCTTAAATTGAGAAGAAAAATGAGCAGTAACTATACAGCTTCTGAAAAACATGCCTAGCATGTTATATAACGTCTTGCTATAATGTCTTATAACAAGATATTAAAATACTCTGTGGGGAAAAGAAAGCCATTGAAGACATTGAAGGACTGATCCATTCAAATCAAGACTATAAGTATCTCTCTAGAAAATATATTTAGGATAGTAAATACCTTTTTATGCTTACAAGGAATGACATAGATAGGCACAAATTGAAGCCAAAACTAGAAGAATTCTGAACTTAAATAAGGGTTTGATTTTTTAAAGAAGAGGTTGATGGGCTATTAAAGTAACTTACCAAGGGGCCTAGGAAGTGACAATTTATTTGCTTTCCCTTGGTACATTCAGGAGCCTTTAAACCACACATGTATGTCTGCAGGTCATGATGATGTATATTTATTGCATAGATTTGTCTAAGAGCTTTTTGAACTGTTGTGAAGCCCATGGCCTGAACACCTGCTCTATGATTAAATGCCACATCTTATTTGTTTTGAACCTGCAAGTGATTTGATGCTCTTTATAGCTGAAGTGCCCTTCTCAGTGACTCTGTGTGTCAAAGAGTGCGTAAAACGCATCTATGTTTAAAGATCAACCACTGAAGAACTTTTTAACAAAAATATATTTATTATAATCTATGCTATTTGCAAGTAATTCAGAAGATTCATTCAAAGATAAACTACAGACTTGAATACCTGAAAGATTGCACAATAACCAAATAGCAAATTATTATTTTTTAATATTATGATGAATTCTCAGAATTTAGTGCTGGAAGATCATTTAATGAGTGTTTTAGAAGTTAATGCTGAAAATCCGGCTGAACTGAAGTTAATGGGAATTTTGCCATTAATTTTCAGAAAGCAAAGATTTCACCCCAAATATCTGGGTTACTGGCATAAATAAACCAGGACACACACCTTTAATGTTTGGAAGCTGTTTGCTCTTGAAAAATGGTCCTCAGCTTTATATGGTGTTTGTTCAACAGCATGAAAGCCACTGACTCTGAATTGAGAATCACTTTCTGAACAGCCTTTCAGCAGAGATTAGCAAAATATGTTGGGTGATAAGTAAATGACAAATAAACTAGTAAGTATCTAGCTGCTGTAATGTGAAGAAATGCTACATTTATTTAAAAGTTGTGGATTTTTGGAATCTTGCCAAAAGTAATCTGAAAGCAAGATGGCCTTGGAGTGTTAAATTTCCATTTTCATTTAGCTCAAGCAAATGATAAATTCATCCTTGTGATTATGAAAATACTATGTCACAGCATATTGATCTTTATTTCACAGGTCACTATTCATTTGACACTCTTAGCAAAATATACAGAGATATTTCAAGGTATGTAGTGCCTCGGGTAGGTTGTCTGATCTGACACTGAAAATTGAGTAATAATCAGCATTTCAAGTTACTGACTGTGAGATATAAATTATTCTCTTATACACTTAGGTAATTGAAGTCTTCCAAAATCACCTAAGTATATTTTCATAGGAAACTGGATTAGATAAATGGCACTTTATTTCTGACAGGAATATTTTAACCATAAATACAAATCAAGTAAAAGACTGATGTTTAATATAAGCTGCCTTTTGAAGTTTTATATTTATTAGTTCACTGAAATAAGTACATATTAGAAAGGAATCCACATTCAAATACAGCCTAGACGTTTATTTCATAAACAGCTGCATATATCCTTCAGTGACTTCAGCTTTTTTCCAGCTAAGCCCACAATAATTTACATATAGACAGATCTTGAAGTTCCTGAAGTAAAAGCATAAATACAGAATTTGGCCAAAATATTTATTCTTTTTGTGTGGAAAGACTCTCTCATAGGCACTATCTTTTAGTCATGCAGTTAGAAATACACTGTATTCATCTGATAATAATATTTTTTCATGGATCCATATCAGTATAAAACATGCCAAAATATGTAAAATACATGCAATTGAACTCTGCATTTATCTAGATAATTCAGTATCTGTCCTAAGTGGTAATCAGAGAATTAAACAATCTTTTCTATTACTCTAAAAGAGGAGTAGTGAATGCACTGCAGAGCCAGCAAAGACTGCCATTGAGTTTGCTTTCAACAGGTTTGATCAGCAGGACAAGTCTCTAAAGCCAAATAAGAGCCAGGATAAATTAAAATATACTCAGATCTCTGATGCCATGGCCATACACCAGATATTTGCAAGTGAAGAAGGTAACTTCAAAGTAGCTTAGATTTCTCCACTATGCAAACATTCTTAGCAATCATTAATTTTACTACTAAAGATGGATAGTCCTCACTTTGACTTTAAAGAAACTGAAGCTGACCTTGGGAAGGAATTTGTCTTTTAATCTCTTTTATGCAGGCAGAAGTTTTTATAGAAACTAGTGAGGATAAAATGTCAGATATATCACATAAATTAAATACAGGAAGACAAATATAACATTAGGGATGCACCAATGAGAATGAAAATTTCAGAGTTCCTTCTCACAGCATTTCTACATGAGTAAGGGCTCATTTTGGTTGCTACTCAAAAAAACCCCAAACAAACAAACAGACAATTTCTTTAAAAGTCCTAGAAATGGCTGCTTGGCTTTCCAAATAATTTCTTGC